GGCTGAGTAACTCCATGAGTTACTCCTAGAGATCTGGAGATGCCAGGCCTAGATGCCAGGTCCTTCCTACTTCACAGAAGGACTCATCACATGTCCACCTTGCCTGTAAAGCTTTGTTTTCTTTTAATGTTCTAATGGCTATCTGAATTATACTCCTTCCTTATACAGATTACAAAAACAACATCCTGAAGGAGAAGGCTGAGCAAGCCAGAAGCTTCCCAGCAAAGAACATTGATTTAGACAGAGGTAATAATGACCTGCTTCACCCTAATTGGTGGCTGTAGGAACCTTCTGATGGGTTGAAGGGAGGGAGAAGGGAAGAACGCAGTTTAGCAGCAAGCTGACCAAGCCACAGCCGAAAGAAGCTAGTTCCCTTTCTATCCTTTCATCATGGAACCACAAGATGCAAGTAGCGATTAGGCTTTTAAAAACTTTTGGCGTAGCACACGTAGAATTTTTCTTTATTGGAAAAAGAATGCCTTGCAGGGCTGGAATAGTGCATTCTGTACTGTAACCTCAGAGGGAGATGTATCTCAAAAATGTCCTGGCAGGGTGTTCAAGAAGAAAACACTGTGCAGAAGAGAGTGTTTTGAGTTGAATTAATTTACGGGTAATGGTCAGTCACTTACTTCATCCAACAAAAGCAGACAGCTCTCCCTCCCTCGGGGCTGAATCTCCTTTTGCTTATCCAGTATTAATCCTGAGTATTACACCTCAGTTTGTAGAGTCACACTTATGCCAAGCAGTGCTTGTAAGAAGTTCCTAGGTTCCATGACTCCTTTCATATGAATTTAGAATATAATAAATGTGACTGAAATGACAGTAAGAAAGGAATGGTCTGGAGAGTCCATGCTTTAGACCTGCTGTTCTTGATGGAGTTCTTATGATATTTTTGCTTACATTCTGCAGAGATGATCTGTACAATAATTTATACACAGTATAAATGTATCACTGTGGGCTTTATTAAGAGGATATTGGGGACATGGCTGGACTGCAAATGGTCACTTGCACTGGTGTAGCTAATACAGTGTGCTGCTTTGGATGGTTTGAGATTCTTTTCAGGTACTGACCTCCATTTCAATTTGCTTTCAGATTTCAGGAAGGAATATTGTAAATGAAGACATTCCCAAGCTGCTGGCTGGACCAGAAGCTTCAATCAAAGATAGATAAATGGAAGAGAGATGCCTTTTCTTAATATCTTGTCCCTCCAGTTACTATAGATTTTTTTCACGTAGACTTTCTCCCCACTAAGCACAAGGGTATTTGCAAATGCTTCTTGAAAGAGTTAGACCACGTCTTGTGTGCATTTACAATGGGTTTGGGTTGCCTTTTCTTCTTTTGTTCTCCCAGTCCTCCATTCCCCTTTTCTTCCTTGATATTATTGTTGGTTTTATGCATCAATGATTTTTATGAGCTGAATCAGCGGACCTTTTGCTTTGATGTTACTGCTTTAAATAAACCAACCTGCATCACTAATCTTGAGCCATCATTATATCAGGCATTTTTCCATGTAGTGCATTCATCAGAAGAATAACAGCAAAGCCTGATTGTGATCTCTCATAGGCTGGCATAAATCAGGAGGAGCAGTACTGTCACATAGCACTTTACGTATTCCAGGTGAAGTACAAAGAGTACACCCCGTCATGAATGACAATGTAAATACCTCATTTTACAAATGGAGAAGTGTCAATATCCTCATTTTTCAGGGGAAAAGGAGGCACACAAATGACCTAGGGTAGGGTTGGGATCAGCTCCAAAGAATTCTGGAAGCCTAACTGTATTTCTCACTCTAAGCTTGTTTGTTGATTTGTTTTTGTTTCAGTGCAGACCAAATCAAATTTGGCATGAGCAGACACTTTCAGCTGAAGTTGATGGAGTTACAGTGCTGTAATACCAGTCTCAGTTAGATCAGAACCAGAAATATTATGGAGAGGGCTAAACTCCTGTGTGGAATCTGGAATGTGATTTTCCTGCAGTCTTTGGGTGGATCCAGGCCACACAGAGCATCAAAACAAAGGTATGATTACAGCACAGGTAGACAGATTGTTAAAAGGAGTAGTTTCTCATGAGCATACCATGAGGAGCAAGAGTAACAGCACACTCCACTAAATAGCCTGTCAGCAATTCTTATGAGCCAGGGTCTCAGAAGGGGAGTTGAGGAGGGAGATGAGTCCATTCTTGTGGATTTTGGCATTGTTTTGGGGGGTGGATACCTGAGATAGTGGGGCTGTGGGATGAAGGGGAGTTCTACATATGAACAGTGCGTCAGGTGGGGATGTCCAAAAATCAGAAGTCAGTAAATCTGTGTTGTAATCCAAGCAAGTTAAAGCATCAGGAAAGCTGGAGAATATTAACACTTCTACACAGCTCCTCTGACTACTTGGGATAGTCTGTGGCACCATTCCCAAACCAGGTACACCTGTGGTCCCTGGGGCACAGAAGAAAAGGTCTTTCCTATTGTTGTGAGCGTGATGACAGTGGCTTGTGCTCTTGTTGTGTAAGGGTGGAGGTGGCCAAGGATTGCCAGCCTACTCTCTGGTGGTCTGAAGAGAATGGCAGAGGGAGGGATTGTGTGTGGGCTTGGTGACTAAATGGGACTGGGGTAGGGTCTCCAGGATGTTGTAGGTGGTGGAAGGGTGAAGAAGAGCTTGTGTGGAACTATTGTGAGGGTGAGGGAGGATGTGAGGGTGATGGTGTGATTTCAGTCTTGAAGCAGTGCTCTGCTTGCAACTGGTATCTCAGCCTGGATTTCTTCCTGGGGGTGGAGAATTCTGAGGTCTTTGCAAGCGATGAAGTAGCTGTGGTCCAAGGAAAGCATCTCAGTCTACCAGTTAAAAAATTGGGAATGTAACCTGCTGCCTAGCATGGTATGTGTCTTGGCTGTTGTTTTAGCCAACCTCACTGCTTATCCAGGAACATGTCAGTGCCATCTAACAGGGGCACAAATTTGGTCAAACCGGAAAGAGATGTTGTCCTGGCTGGGTGAAGCTGCCCACTGCAGGAGCACACGTACTGTAAGGGTCCAGTGCTGTTTTAAGAGCTATCCAACGCTATGGGCCTCCCTAGTGTAGGAATCAATGTCAAGTCCCATACCTGCCCCTTTCTTTCCACCACTACCAACTTGGGTGTCTTGTTGACTGATGACAATGTTCTTAGACATCTAAATCCCATTTCAGACCCCCTCTCCCTCCTCCCGCAAACGTCACTGATCTCTGCTGTTGCGTGACGGGGCTCAGTAAGACTCTTAGCAACTCAGTTACGCTGTGCTGGGTGTGATGGTTGCTGAGCTGCAGCTACTTACGCTGAAGCTGAGCTCAGCTCCCTAGCTCTGCCAAAAGTGTGGTGGGTAGGGCCCTCTGTGTACCAGGAGGAACCGTATTGTCTGTTCAGAAGCTAGGATGTCAGTACTTCAACGCACACTTTTTGTAGGAGTGGAAAATGGACCGTGTCAATTTGTATGGGTATCAAGACTTCTCTCTGTTAGTGAGGACTATGTTAAAGAATAAATATACTGGGGACCCTTATTTTTAATGCCTTCAAATATTAAAAATGTTAATAATAGAATATAACAGCAGAGGTGGAGGTGAGCCTTCTTAAGCTAGAGCTGGGCAGATCCTTAACTTCTAGTTTGCTTATCCCTTCCACTGCTCTCAGGGCACTTTTTGTGATTTGCGATTAACTGCCTCTATCTCACTTAAAATTCACCCCTACAGAAAGTGCTCAGATTGGACAGACCCATGACTAGGGAGAAGGAGGGTCTGGGGTTGGGCCTGGGTCCCTATTTGCCTGCCCTTCCCCCAAAGTACACAGCCATTCTTAGGCTGCCTTCGGCTGGACCCG